GGATGGGGTCGAAGAGCGGAAGAGGTGGGGATGAGGTGTATGCTCTTCATAAGTGGGCTGGGATTGGGGTAAAGGTCGTAAAGGTCGGGTTAGAACGGCTGTAGGAAGGGATCGCGGATGGGATCAAGGTTGGGATAGGACGGGGTCGAAGTTAGGGACGGGCGGAAGAGAGATTAGTATCGCGGTGAGATCTGGGTTGGGATCGGGGTTGGAAACGGGAAGAGAAGGGGTGGGGTCCGGATCGGAGTGAGGCTGATGTGTTAGCGGACCAGATTTAGGGAGGACGTGGGAGGAGATCGAGCTCGTGGTTGGAGAGAGGATGGTGCCGAAGGGGCGGGTTTGAGATGGAATCGGGATGAGGATAGGGTGGGGTCGCAATGAGTACCGTTTGGGGTTGATGTTGGTGCGTTTCGGGAATTGAAGTCAGTCCGGGAGGGATGCGGGATCGGGGAAGGGTCGAGTTAGGATCTAGATGGTGGGATCGGGTTGGGGTCGAGAAGAGGGCGGGATGGGGTCGAAACGAGATTGGGGTAGGACAGAGTTGCGATTGGGACGGAAAGGATGTGGAAGGGATCGAGGTGAGGTCGCGAGAGGGGAGGGTCGTAATGGGATCGGGGTGGAACCGAGGCTGGGTGCAGGCGGGAGCTGGTCAAGATGAGGCGGGGTGGGGGATGGGGGATCTGATCAGGTTTGTGGTGACGATGGAACCAATGCGGGGTTCAAGGCGGGAACAAGAGAGGGAGAAAAGGGAGGCAATGGGTGGGGGGGGGGGGGGGGGGCGCTGGCCCCGAGTACTAATATGGCGGGTGGGTGGCGCGAAGTGATAGGTCGACAACTTTGAGAAAGGTCAAATTTGGAATGTTATGAGGGGGGGAGGGGAGGGGGAGGGGTCATAGAGCAATGTTGGGGGCTACTTACGGAGGGAGCGGGCATCGATCGATGTGGATCGGAGTAGGGTGACTAAAAGTCTGGGAGGCGGGTGGAGAGGAGCAATTGAGAGGGGGGTCGACGTAAGTCCAGGCGAAGGAATTAAGGTGGTAGAGGATGGAGGGAGAGTCTTGAGTAGATCACGGCGATATTAGGCTAGGAAAGGAAGAGGCGGGGGGGGGKGGGGKGGGAGATCATCAAGAGAGTAAGTATGGAAGGAATCGAGATGGGGTAGAGAGGTCGTAGGGTCGGGAAGGTGAAAAGATGGAGCCTGGAACCAAAGTGAGTGTTAGTGGGGGGACGACGGCTTCTCACTTGACAAAAGGTCGGTCTTTGGTCGGGGCTGAAGATGGCCGCTTCAATCGACACCTCGCAGCAACCGGAAGTTCTTCAATTGCTTTCCTTTCTTGCCTGGCTGCGCCCGAAGGACACGGCTGGGGCTAAACTCCTCGATGAAGGCATATGGTGTCTTCGACGATGGCTTGAACTGAAACCGCTGCTGAGACCTGCTCCCGTATGTTGTGACGTGTCCTTAATCGCGACGGACCACAGTGCCGCGCCCGAAGGGCGAGGCGGGAGAATTTCTCCTCCTCAGCGATGGCGTATGATGCTTATGGAGATGACGTGTACGAGGACGCGCGCGGCAAGACAACTTGCCATGCCACTCTGCCCTTGATTTGATTTCCTTAATCTTTTCTTCTTTTGTACCTTTCTTTGGCGGATCTCGCTCTCCTTCCTTACTCCCTCTCTCTCTTCCCCTTTTCTCTTTCCCTCTCCCTTTCTCCCTCTCTCCCTCTCTTGCTCTCTCTTTGTCTTTCCTTCTCAGTTACACTCCCTTGCTTTCTTTGTCGAGCCTTCAGGTCTCGATGCCCTTCCCTCCGCTTTGCTGAGCGATGGCTGACCTTCTGGTTGCTCCGCGGGTGGCTGCGCGATGGCGGCCTTGCGGGAGTCTATGGGATGGCGGGGACTCGTTACCTTCCTTAGAGCTTGGGTTGGAGGCGTTAGCGTCGTCGCTCGATGGTGGGCATGGAGAGCGACGAAGGTGGCACCTCAACAGCACAAATTCTAATAACCCTAATGACACCAAATTTGACACACAGCATGTCCAAAAACAAAAACAGGCAAAAAAAAAAATTCCAAAAAAACACAAAGTTTGACCCCGAAACCCTAATTTCAGGATCATTCATGGTTACTCAGGGCCGAAAAGTGGGGTTCCCCGTTAACCGCTTGCTTCCTCGGTACTCGAAAGGGAATAGATAGTGGCTGCTTTTTTTTTCTTTTTTTTTTTTTAGCAGCTGGGCTTTCGAACTTGCTGATCTGCCTTCCATGCTGCTTCAGCTGGTTCCATGCGGCTTCAGCTGGTTGTGGTGGGTTGGTTCCCTTGCCTTTGTTTTGTTGCTTCCAAAAGTCTGCAGACAGATTGTCTTTGGACTTGGGTGCTTGGCTGGACTGAAAGACACTTAAACTAACGACCTATTTATCTCTGGTGAAGCTTGTTGTGTCCCTCTACCCGAGATGAGAGTTTTGAAGTGTCGACCCATAACTGTTATCTGCCAGGGACTGACTTAAACGGCCTACTAAAAACTAACCTACCTATGTAGGCATCTGTTAACGTAGTACAAACGAGCTAACCTACCTATGTAGGCATCTGTTAACGTAGTACAAACGAAAGCTACTGAGCGTAAGCACTCATGAAAATTGTAGGTGCGGCTAGGGCCGTCAATGAACAAGGACTGTGACCCAGCACAAGGACTCGAGACTGGGACTATATATATATCGTCAAACAGAGCTGCCCGGTAAACCATAGGCAGAGAGGGAGGGAGAAGAGGACAACAAACGAGGGGCTGTGACAAACTGTTTCGTCGGACTTTCATCGACTCATCAGGAGGCTGAACCCTAATAAAAAGAATAACGATAAATGATTGTACTGAATGTAAAAAGAAGCATCAATAACATCATAAATAATGAAATTTATCGTCATATATATATATTGTCACATAACTATGAACTAAAAGAGCGCAATTTGCGAAACGAAGTTAAAAAACGGCAAAAAACAACAACAACAACAACAACAACAACAACAACAACAACAACAACAACGGACAAACATGAAGGGCACAGTGAAACCATTCATTTTACTCATTCTTCTTTTGACTCCCCTTTCACCGTGCCTCTCACGTACAAGGCTCGCCACGTTGATGAAGTTGAGCGCGAGCTGCCCCCATCCCCGTGTGCCATAACAGCCCACTTGTACGCTGTGAGAAAGCGGCAGAGTGAAGGGGGAGGGGATAAACACAGGGAGGAGAGATGGAGAGCAGACAAACAAAGAACGATAAAGGGAAAGTAAGGGAAAGTATGGAGTGCGGAATGAAGATGAAGGCAAAAGAGGGTAAGAAAAGGCTCAAGAATGAGTCTGTCCTTGACGACAGAGAGGACATACATTGTAAGGATGACGTGGACGAACACATGGAAGCCCTAGCTGAGCATTCTCAGTGCAACAATTGCCACGACGGGTGGCATTGAGCATGCCCGCCATACACCCCCGACAAATGGCATGTCGATTGCAGGCCAAAATGAAAGAAGAACGGTCACCACAAAAGAGCATGCATTCAGTATAACGCCCATGGCCGCAAAATGGACATATATAGTGTCCGGATGCGGAGGGTGCCTGCAGTCAGGAACGGTGGGATAGTCCTCTGCACACATGGATGCAGAAACCATGTCATTGTAGTGATTTTGACAGAGACGATGGCGGCTACAGCCGAGTGTAACAGTGTTTGTGGTTGTGCAAAGGAGAACGTTGCAGAGTGTTGGTGCATTGTCTTGCTGCAGCACGGGGCCAGAGGAATGATCTTCGACATAAAAGAGATTGCGGACGGTTTGTTGTGGCAAGAAAACAACATCATTTCGTAAGAAATCAGTGACATCAATCATGGCATGGACCATGGTGCTGTTGTCCCACAGCTCCCAGTGGTCAAAGGCCTGTACAATGGCCAGGGCCGTGCACAATGCAGGCAGAGATGTGGGATGGAGGATTAAACCACTCACCTGCTCGAGCATCGCGTAGCTCAAGTTGGCGGTCGCTCATTGCTACTCGTAGGACAGCAATGGTAAAGCTTCTTTTTCCCTGGTATAATTACAATCCTCTGGCTGTAGGCAGGGGAGATCAGCATCATGCTGAAGAGCGATTGCAAGGAAGTCCAATGGTGTATAAAACGGGCGGTGGAAAACGTGAAGACAGATATTAGTTGCAGTCAGACCACAGAGATTGGTGAGGATCTCAGGCTGGTATGCCGGATGCTGGCCAACAATTTGCAGATCACCCAGTCGGTGTTGCAATACCAAAATCTCTTGGGTTGCTTGCTGGTCAGTCATTTGCAGATCACCCATGTGGTCTGCCCGTGGGGGGGCACAAATTTGTGTTTCATCCGCACAATGCTGGTCAGCCATTTGCAGATCCCCCATGTGGTCTACGCCTTGTGGGGTCAACTGCGATCCGGGCAGATCATGTTCCAATCCCTCAACGTTAGGGCTGCATCCTGAGTAGGGACTATACCTGGAGTCGGGAGTGTACTCTGGTCAGCGGCTGCATCCTGAGTAGGGTCTGGTGGCTGCCTGCAGGCAGATGGACTGTCTGCAGGAGTATATTATTGTTTTATTATTTTATTATTTTATTATTTTATTATTTCATTATTTTATTATTATAACACAGGATTTGAAATCTTACACCGCACACCGGCTGCATCACTCATCCAATGGTCAGGAACAGCCTGACTGATTTCCCATAGGCTTCCAAAAACAGCTCGATAAAAAAAGTTATTAAAAAGTGAAGCTCCTGCGGAGTGCAGTAGAATTTTCTTTTTTTCTTTCTTTCTTTCTTTTTCTTTTTTTTTCTTTTTTTTTTTTGGGGGGGGGGGTGCCTGGGCTGAGAGCCAATCTGGAAAGTTACCACCAACCATCTCACGAGGACACACGCGAGTCTCGCCAAGACCTTCAAAGACAGAAGCCAATGGACGGACAGCGATTGAACTTGAGAAAGAGGGTTTCAGGAAAAGAGAGGAAATAGTAAATACCAATCAGTCAACAGAATTTCAGCCCTCAGCCTCTCAAATGCCTGAACGCTCATCCTTGGAATCACATCGTCCTGCAGGAAAGCAGCATATCCGTGTTGTTTTTTTTCCCCCCAGTATTATTCACCACAACACAAATACCAAATGAGACAAAAGATGAGGAGCAATTACTGGCCATATAACATCCTCCTCCTCCTCCTCCTCATCATCATCATCATCACCACCTGTCTCTTATACACATCTAGATGTGTATAAGAGACAGGAATCACATCGTCCTGCAGGAAAGCAGCATATCCGTGTTGTTTTTTTTCCCCCCAGTATTATTCACCACAACACAAATACCAAATGAGACAAAAGATGAGGAGCAATTACTGGCCATATAACATCCTCCTCCTCCTCCTCCTCATCATCATCATCATCACCACCATGAGATCATCATCATCGTCATCATCATCATGGGGGAAGGTACCAACGGGCCTAGCTCAGTCGGTACGCGCATTAACTGCTGCAATGCAGACCTTAGTTGGGATCCAGATTGTACTAGATGAAATCACTGAGGCTGATCAGTTCGATGATCGGATCTCAAAGCCATCGCCCTTTTGTTTGTTTGAAAAAGAAAGAGAAGGCAGAAAAATAAAATAAAATGTGCGGCCAAGCAACAGATCCACCACACATGCAACAAAGGAAACAGATAACGAGCAGCAATTATCGGTTTCATAATGACATCGTCTTGCAGGGAAAGCAACCAATGTTACCGATCAACAACATCATCAACAATTAATTATTGGCCGTAACTTTCTGGACAATGTAACTTGAAAAAAAGAGAAAACTACGGCGCAGTCAGGGATTGAGTTTGTAATTGCACTTGAGGCAAAAGGGCCGGTAATGCTGAATGTATATGACCTACGGTTCGGGTCCCGTGGGGTCGCGTGGGGGTGTGTTGTATTCGCGGGATTGCCTGAAGTGCAATTACAAACTGTTTTCGTGACTGCGCCGAAGTTAGCCCTAAAAAAAAACATAATAACATATACAACCCAACAGAGAAGCAATTCAAAATTCCATACAGCACAGCATGCTGCAAACTTCCAAAAATGCCTGCCGATCGGGAAAGGGTCCGTGATTCAGCAATAGCCTCTCTCTCTCTCTCTCTCTCTCTCTCTCTCTCTCTCTCTCTCTCTCTCTCTCTCTCTCTCTCTCTCTCTCTCTCTCGCTCTCTCGCTCTCTCTCTCTCTCTNCTCTCTCTCTCTCTCTCTCACACACACACACACACGCACGCACACACACACGCACGCACGCACACACACACACGCACGCACGCACACACACACGCACACATCCCCAACCCCTCTGCCTCCTGAATTCTTTTTACTGTGAGAAACCTAGAAAGGTTATCGACAACTTTCATGGTGATGATTCCCCTACAAACCCCATTCTCCCTGGACTTCCATTTCTAACCATGCTCGCTCTCTCCTACACGATGCCTGTGGTTTGCCGTTGCACGATTCGTCAAAGCTCCTATTCCTTTTCACCCGATTTGACGTTTCCCTCTTCTCATCCTTCACTATTTGCAATTGTGCACATGACATTCAGAACCAGGCTACTCATTGTCTTCCCGCTGCCAGTACTGGGCATTGTGCTCTGGCAGTACAACACGACATGGGGGTTATCTGACCACAGCTCTGGCAGTATGACATGATGACATGTCTTCCCCTCTGCCACAACATATATTACTGGCAAACACTGGTGGGATTCGGAGACGAGATCCAAGTACACACACCCAGCCCAGCTATGTGTGTCAAAGAGATGGCGACAAAGTTCGACAAACATGTATTGCATTCAGTAGCAGAGGATAAAGAAGTAAGAAGAGTACACACAACTCACCTGAAGCACAATGGTTGTGATGTAGTCGGCGCATTCGATCGCAGCCTCTCTGGGAACACAAGGGGGTGTGGCGAAACTGATGCATGAGATTGCCTCTTTTGGTATACGATGCATGCTCTCATTCTTGCGTAGAATCATCGTAATCAGACATGCAGTCGCGCCTCCAAGCGAGTGGCCTACTAGTCGCAGATTGTAACCCTGAAGGCACAAAAGTTCAAATTGACAGCAAGTAACATTAACTCAATTGACATTAACATAATAAGGATATTCTTTCTGTTTGTTTGTATCAAGTTATCAACCACAGATCTTGTCTCGTGTTAGGAGTTTCTTTATTTTTGTTGTTGCAATTGCTACAGAAATGCAAAAACGAATAGACACAGTATTAGACACTGAATTTGTATATTGGTTATGGGAATAAAAATTATAAAAGACAAAAGACAAAAGTCCTTCGGGACGTTCGTTAAAATTGGAACGATACAGAAAAGACTACCATGCATGGCCCCTGCACAAGGATGACACGCATGAATTGAGATACAGTCAAAATTATTTTATAAAGAAAAGACGAACAGTGAGGCACCAACAGGGCAGTGGTGGCGAAGCAGTGTCTTGCCTATGATGCATCGCCATCCCCGCAGAGCAGGAGAAAGTGCATGTGTGTGTGTGTGTGTGTGTGTGTGGACATGACCATGCACATAACTGAGAGAAAAAGAGCGAGGAAGGCATACTCACACTAGGACCTTTTCTACGAAGCTCTGGACATCATTGCAGTCAGATTCATCCAGGTAAGGCCGTAATTGCAGTCACATACATTCAGGAAAGTCGTAGTGTGCGTATGCCCTGAGGAAGGCATACACGCAAAGCACAAAAGGCCTCATGCAGCTCACTAGCGCAGAGAACTTTCTGATCGTAATGGCCATGCAGATGGAAACTTCTATGCCAGAAAACTTTACAGAAATTCAGGTATTTCATATATATATGACCATATATCACCATCATCATCATGATGATCATCATAATCATCATCAGCAGCAGCAGCATACTTCTATTCCCGTAAGTTTATGACGATGACATTAGCATGCAACAACTGGAGCTGGCTACACAGAAGTTCGTTGAATTCTACAACGCAAGAGCAGCGTAAGGTTGATGTACAAGTTCATTCGCTTACACACCATAACCCACATGAACTCGCTCACCTTGTGCCTCTCAAGCAGGTCCTCCAACGTACTAAGTTCTTTCCTTAGCAAGCGAACTGCTGCCTGTGTCATTCCATAATTTCCAAATACGCCGTCCTGCAGCAGCGGTTCCAGCCATGCCTTCTCCGCCTGCTTGTCCTCGGCTGACCGCTCCCTTTCGCGATCCCCAGTCGACCCACTGCTAGCATCCTTTCCAGAGCCCAGCAAATCAGTCACCAGATCATTCACAGAGAGAGTCCCGCGTACGCCGAACACCACCAATTTTCTCCGATCGTCGACTGCAATGAAGTAAGCAGGCTCCATAACGGACGCCTGCATTGTCAGTAACCCAAGCGGAGAGAGAAGACGCACCCACCGCATCTAACAATCTGTCAGTGTCTCACTCACCAGCCTACACCACCCAGGACAGCCAACAAAAAAAGAAGAGCAAGAGCACAACATCCAAACATCAGCATAATGTCCTTCAGGGCATAACATTCGTCAAAACTTTCTTTGTTTTTGTTTTTCTTCACTCCAAACGAAGCGAATACACAGAAGATTAATCCGGGCTTGCCCGTTCTTGTGGCCTATCATGGTGACTTGTCGAATCACCCGGCCTTCAAGCTGGCGATGCTCCCTTTCATTCTTCCTCTATGATTCTTACAAAATATAGTTTTACAATGGGGGTAATCGGTAGCAGAAACTTTCAATGCTACAACAGAAGATACACGGAAGATACACGGACGACCCACGGAAGATGCACGGTAGATACACAGCAGATTACCATGTCCCCCTGCAAAAACAAGTATGCCTGAGCATGCAATGGCTCATCTACTATCAGGCCTTGCCGGTCAACACATGGCTCGGCAAGAGAGGGTCCGAAATGGCCAGAAGGGACTTCGACGCTAGTTGTGCAGTCTGCGATGTTGGAACCCTCGAGGATATGCTGCACTGTCTGATACACTGCCCAAACAGACCCAAGGCTTGGGAGCAGAACGCGGGCGTTCTGGTCTAGATTGTCGACACACCACTGTCAGATAACCTGCTGACACTTCTAACGGGCCTCGCCCAGCCACGTTTTCGAGAAGCCTGTCATTTAACCCCTCTTCCGAAGACTTTGCCCCTTTAGGTTGTGGATCATATGGAAGACACGATGCAAACAAATGATCGCCGGCCAAAACACACCAACCCGGGAGGCCTGGGAGCGAGAAGTCTGGCATTTAACCCCTCTTCCAAAGACTTTGCCCCTTTACGTTGTGGATCATAT